AATTTTAATTGCAGACAGGGGGACTGAAATTTTCACTCAGCACTTCCTTTGTTGAAAACACAAACTAATGTCAAAAAAAAGTTAAAGAAAAGTGTGTTTGTGCTGAAGAAACCAATCCTATTTGTAAGCCTCGTTTTGTATTTTTTGGGATTTGGCATGCATCTTTTTTTCCTACACACCAAGACATCTCAGGCATAAGCCAGAAATCCTTAGAGGCGCTCAGGAGATGAGCAGGCTATCTTTGAGCAAGTCAGTTACATTTCTTAATTGCCTCCATCCATCCGGGGGTCAGATCACAACATAATACTGAAAACTCACAGGTTTGCACTTGCAAAATGTTGCAAAGAGTGCTGAAGTTCTTGCAGTAATTACCTTCCATAAGCAAACAACTTATCCTCATAACCCATCAGGATTTCACGGGATGAAAGAGGAGTAAGTAAGACAAACGAAAGAACAGCAGTGAAATAATTGAGTAACACACATATGAAGCCACGAGGCCAGTATGAAATGTAAGGGAGCACTGCACAGTGCATCCCAGAGCATTCAGTGAGGTCTTCTCCTCTTCTCCTTCTCTTGGTCCAACCTTTGATCTTTTCTGCGATCCTTCAGTTCCCCTAGGGTGTTACCTTCCTCTGCAGTAGCTCCTGAGGAATTGTGCTTGTGCCTTTCTTCTCTGGACATACAGAAATTGTTTTTTTATAGTGTTCAACAACACTGTTAGGCCTGTTAGGTCTTCAGTGAGAAAGAAGAAAGAAGTTGTTGCTTTGATTTTAAACTTCTAAACTTTTCTGTTTCCTTTTCTGAAGCCATTCTGTTCTGTTTCAATTTTTTTCTATGGAAGGTTTCACTAGTAATCCTATTGAAGTCTGCACTTTTCACACTGCACAAAATGTAGTGTTGTTCTACTAACACTTCTTAAAACCCCTTCCAGAATTTCTTCACAACAGTGTTATGGGTGTAACTTCATTTTATTTTGCTTCCAAAATAAATTACTTTCTCTGCCTTGTTTGTTCCTTGTCTGTTTCCTACATTTGTACTAATTGGGCAATCATACGTTCATCAGCCAAGGAGAAAAGGGGACAGCAATCACTGCAGGTTGCTGCTCTCAGCACTAAAGAACAAAAGAAGAAATACCATCTTGTACTCTGTAGTGTATATCCAGAAAAAATATCACCCTGAAGGTTTGAAGCATCGCATTTGATGCAAATAAGATCAGCTGATTGCAAGGTGCCTTGCTGTTGTTCTTAGCTAGGAAACAGATTTGCTACAGTTTGGAAGTTCAGTGAGTCATAATTTGATCAAGACTGAAAGTCAGACTCTTGGAAGTGAGCATGGCCAGTATTATGACAGCATGTACTTGGATTTAATAGCACAATGTGGGACTGAGAAGATAGCAGCATTCCTCAGAATCAGAGAATATGAGCAACATTACTACTTCAAGAGGAATAAGAGAAAGAAATTTGCAGTAACTGAAACCTCAACCTGATGGGCAATCCTTCTCTACCACTGTTGCTCTCAGTTTAGAAGCTGTATATCAGCCATCAGATGAACTCTGTTCTTTCAAGAAAACAGAAATCCCTACTGTGTTTTTTTTCCTTTTCACAGAGTACAGCCAAAAAACCTAGTTCCCATCCAGATTTGCAAGTTGTCTTAATTAACAACAGTGTTGATGTGTGAAAAATTGTGTACTGTGGTTTTATCACACATTTTGGCAGTGTGTTTCTCCTGCTGATATTCTCTGAAGTGAAGCCAAGGCCTCTGCATGGGTGATATCTGCAGGATGAAAGCAGTGATGATATCCAGAAAAAGTAGAAGCATGTTAAGCCAGCACATACAACTTGATGTCATTAATTCAACATCATCCATTTAAAGGGGCAAATATTCTTTCCCGCACATAGATAGTCTTGTGAATGCTAAAAAGTACTTAAATTATAATTAAAGGCTATCAAAATATGTAATCTCTTTCCACATCCTTCCCAATGAAGCTGATACAAAACAGAGTAAGTGAGAGATCAGGGTGGATGAGATTTGAATTCACTTTATGTTTAGCAACTGGAATGCAGCAGAATGAAACCATGCTAAGGAAAAGAGTCAGCTATGTCAGCTATGAAGACGCTAAAAATTTCTGAGTTGATTCCATGCAGATTTTGTACAGTTTGGAAATCCTGTGATATCAAACATTACTACTTTCGACCATTCCAGTACAGTTGGTTTAGGCCTTTCAACTTCTAAGGTACGTAATGATTTGAAAATCAACTACTCGCTTTCCCTGGCCCTTTCATCTAGAAATCTTCAAGCACTTTCTGAAGTGCCAGGGTAGAATAAGCAGTGTCTAACCTCTGGGAGGACAACACTTTGTCTCCTCTCAGAGCTGTTGATTCAATAGGTCTACCCAATATTTTCAGTAAAAAATATAGCTTACATGACCTCTGGCAAAGAAAAGCATGTTTGTGTTAGTCTTTCATGATGAAAGATGGCCACGATTAGTGGTGGCTTGTGGTGAGGGATCTGGACACAGCCTTCACATCACTTCTCACTATTAATCTGTGTGTGTAATGAAGAGGCATTTACTGTCCAGCCAAATATTTGATAAATAAGCTGGCTGAGTGCAGTGCTAATTTGTGACCTGGCTCTGGTTTTGTATCCTCCCTTGTGAAAGGCCACACACAATTATCACTGCTTGTAAAGTGCCACAGAAAGCTTACAGTTGTAGGAGCAAGGAGTTTGCTTTAGCTAGTCACATCTTGGGTCACCAACGTGTCATGTTTTACAAGAACAATCTCTGATCTACGTGTTTCCTGGAAAATGCTATAGTTTTATTCGCTCACTCTGAGTTGGTGCTTCACATCTAACAATCTGTATGCTTTTTCTCATTGTTGAAGTTTTACCTTATCTTGTTTTTTTTTCTTCATCCAGGAAAATAGCTACCTAACAAACTGAAAAGAGGAAGGTAGCATATATTTTCCAGCATTTGCCTTCCATGCACTCATTCTCCTATGCCCTATGGAAGAGCCATTCCCATCACATTTGATACGTTTCAGCTATACTTTGAATAATAAGGAAGCAGGCTGTTAATACACAATAATTTGCTGTGTAATTTGTTTTTTCTCTGCGCCCAGATGTTCTTTTTATCAAAGCCAGGATAAGGCAGGAAAGATGACGTGTTCAAAACCGGTGGTGGAGCACATGACTTAGCAGCCTGACTCTGGAGCTGTACTCCATGTATCAGGTCACAGCTGGAAAGCAAAGGGCCTTTTCACAGAGAAGGATGTACAGTTGTATCTCTACATTAGGTGTAGCGGGGAATTCCCACCTGAAATCTGGTCCATCTGAAACTTTACCTCAAGAGACTTCATCTCTCTTCCACAGTCTTGCATTTCAGAGCATGCAGCAAGGAATAAAGTAGGGGTAAACTGACAGAACAGAAGGAATCCATACTCAGTCACCTTCAGAAACTCTACTATTACTGTTACTATTCAAGAAGCAAAGAAAACCCCTGTCCATGAGCCGAAGATGTCCTTCCAAGTAGGGAAGGATTAAGGATGTTTCATGTTGTTTTGGGGGACAGTGGACAATTCAGCCCATAATACCCAAATCCATGGATACTGTGGTGCTTTGCAGACATGCAGATTCACAGACCCCTGACCCAATTTCTTTGTTAAATACTAAAAGAAATTTTCAGTTTCTGAAGAAATTTGGGATTTCTCTGAAGACTACTTCTATCAGCTCAGAAATGCTTCCCAGAGTGTGAGCTGAGTTACAACAGAATGTAAAGTGAAATCTTCAGTCGTTTCAAAGACGATACAAATCACTACAAAACCTCAGGGATCGTCACTGACTGAAAAAAACATCTGTCTTCATAAGCAATAAGGTAAGTGTAGATAACGCACGAGGCAAACACAGCATGGACAGTTGTGATTTTCTCCCTTCTTTTAGTTTCTCATCCTTCATCAGAAAAATGAGATTTCAACAGGAAAATATTGATTACAATCTACAGTCAATGAGGCCTAAGTGACCAGTTGGTCTGTTGAGACACTATAGCTGCAAGACCTCTCATAAGGGAAGGGAATCAAGGTAGTGGTGTGCTGCTCATGAGAGGTGTAATTTCCAGTCATCCTGCAATTTTTTGGCAAAAGGTTTAAAGTGATTAGAAATTTTGTTGTCAGCTTCATGCACTGATTCATTCAAAAACTGTTGTCTTTGGCTTGTCCACACAGCATTATAAGATTTGTTCCCTCGCCCATAAGTTTGTCAAGAATGAATTTTCATCCAGTTGTCTTCCCAAGCCTTATGTTTCAGGGTTTGGACAACTCTCTGAGCCTTCTCCAGGCAACAGAGTACAATAAAGATGACAGCAGTCCAAGGGTGTCATCCCTCTAGTGTAAGTCTCTTTGGCTCTGTCAGGTACAAAAGAGAAGTTTTCTCCTCTAAATTTCTTTTTGATTAACTCAATCACAATGGGGAAAGAAATAGACCAAAAAAAAAAAAAAAGGGGGGGGGAAGGAATGGAATTTGCAATCTGATTAAAATTAGAAGCCTTTGGACTGACTCGAAACTGTCATTACAGAAATAGTCCTGGCAGCACCTCAGCCCTCTTCCTCATCTCTCTGAGTGCTCTGTCTTTGAGCCAGGACTCAGAGCTTCTACTCTCCCACATCAGCCCTCAACATTTTGCCTCCATTTCTCTTGTGCTTTTCTTGTACACATTTGTTGTGCACTATATGTATTTCTATGCTGATCAAGCAGGTTCAACTTTTTCCTTGTGGCAAGCAATGACCGGGGTAACACTTCATAATATATTAGTTTTTCTGCAACAACATGAGCAATACCTGAAGATAAAATATTTATTTTTAAACTAACATAACACAGTTAGCCTGACAACCCAGCTACACTACATATGGCCCATTTCAGAGCACTCCAGTTATCTCCAGTGAAAGTGGTTCAGAAACCAAAGGACATTTCTGTCCTTTTGTACTTTTGCTGGAGATTTTTGTCACTGCAGCAGTCAGCAGAAAGCAACGTGTTGTTGCAAAGCATCATCTCTCATCTTGCAGAGCCAGAGAACACAGCTTTACTGTCCATTACCAATTACTCTTGAGGACTCTTCTTCTTCTGCCAGCCCTACCACTGATGGAGTTGGGGACACTGCCAAGGAAAGAGAAAGAATGATAAGAAAGCTGGCAAAAATAAAGGCCTAAATCACCAGATATCATCTATTAACAGCCTTACATTCATCTTGACATAGTGAGGTATTTTAAGTCTTTCCCCTTGAGGTTTGGTTCTCTTTCCACTTCCTCAAGCAGTACTTTCACCTGAACAAAAGTTTCAATATACAGCATTCATCCATTATTCCAGCCTGGTTCCTTTGCACAGAGAATTTCTGCATCAGTGAGAGGAAACCCACAGGAGCTGTATGCTCATGATGCTGACTAGCAGTACTGGCTATACTGGAATAGGGCCATCAGCCTTCAATGTGAAGGAGGATCTTAGGTAGGTCCCAAAGGAGGCATAAAAAAGGCTCTCTTTTATGGTCTTTTAAAGCAACTTGGACAGGAGGACATTTCCCTACTTCCGATGACTTTAGGTTCTTCTGGGATTAATTCTACAATTTACATTATTATATATAGCACATTTCTCTTATTTATACAGCGTGCTTTTATTTATTTATAGAACTGTACTTTGCAGTAAGGTCCAATAAATATTTGTGGCAGTGAGTTCCCAGAGTTAATCGCAAACTGTGTAACAAGCTTTTATTTTTATATTTCCATTTTAAATTCAGTTAAGGTTTAATTCCATTGACTGTTCTGTAGCTGTCTGACTGTTCTTATGTTCTTGTTATGCTTACTGGGAAAATATACACTTTTATGGTTTCTAATTCCTTTTCCCAAAGAAATTTGTTCTCTTCTCTTCTTATTCTTCTGAGCTATTTTAAAGCTCAGACAAAAATAAGAAGAGAGATGGAATGTGATCAAATGCCGGGGAACAGACCTCTGTCAGATGAGCTGGATTTTTTCACGATAGTTTCTTATGGTAAATAAATAAATAAATAAAAGTTGGGCTCAGCTAATTTTTGCCTTTTTTCATTAAATAAGGGTAAAAAACTACCACTACAAGTCGTATTCTAGAGGTTGAAACCATGTTGCTTGTATTAACAATTAGAGTTAGGCTTCCAAACTAAACTAACTGACTTTATTTCTTTGAAAAGAGAGTTGTCCATCCATGATTAAAACAATACCAGGAGTTGACACTTTGTGCTAGTTTTCCTTTTTGTCACATGGAGGACATACACAGATGGTGTACCACAAGGGCAGTCTCCAGGAAAGGATTTTTTTTGTACTGGAAGGATTAAGTAGAGCCTGGTGACACTCATTCACTAATGGTAGAAAAGTGCTGGAAAACCTGAAATAGAAAGTGCTATTGAAATGCATTATTACTTAGGAGGATATTTACATAACCCTTTGATTTTATTGGTCAGTAAACTGGCAATTACCTTGACACATTGCCAGAGAAATACATCTTTGCTTTTCTTCACTCATGTTTCTTGCTTAATAGTAATGTGCATCAGTGACTATGCTCCTCACTGTCTGAGCTTGGACTGGCTTCCTCCTTTCTTCCTGGAAGATCCTTCCATGGGAACTGAATTTTGACGGCAGTTATAAAGCTTTGGTCAATTCCTGTTTCTTAATACTGACAAATGCAAAAGCAGATTCAGAAGATCATCATTGCATTCTTTTTCACAGCAGTAAAAGGTAATACAAGGCAATCAGAACAGGAATTGGGTTCCCAACCTGAACTTTATGCCATTTATAACTGCAGAAGTTGCTTGGGAAATTCCTAATTAGGCACATTTAAAGACATTTCTGGCAGTGTCTGCTCCTTCTTTTCACTTTGCAACCCAATGCTGTACAGTAAAGAGCTTTTTCAATTCTATGAATCCTCAGTGCTCCACTCCTGTAACGTAGATAAAGGTAGCTTATTGTTGATGTCTCTGTTGCTTATTGTGGACAGTGTGTGGTTCCCCCTTAGCACAATAAGGACACCATTACTGGATCTGTCTTTCCAAAATGGAAGGGAAATGTCAGATTTTACTGTGTGAAACTTTCCACTGTTTTTTAGATTAATGCCTGGCAATTCTCAGTTCTTGGCTTCACCTCCTTAAACTTTATCGAGGTATTCTTATTTGTCCAATTGCTTTTGTCAGTTTTTATCAAGTGAAGTATGTGTGAAATTTGGATCTTCTTAAACTGAACTTGGCAGCCTGCAGAGCTTTGTGATATGGTGGGAATTACAGATGGGCTGAAAAATCAAATTGAAGGAGCCTGCATACAGCTGAGAAAATGTCATTTTCCTGCTTTCTGTGGGGGGAAAAAATCCAGCATACAAAGAAAATTAATTATGTTGAAACAATAAGCAGGTAGTGGATGGAGAGACAATATACCAGATGCGAAATTTTCACTTGTTTTTGCTTCTCGTGTAGTGCAGCCATTCAAAAATGTGCCTGCAAGACTCTTCAATGTACTAAAAATAGTATATTTTGCATATTTTGATCCAGGCTAAGCTCAGCCCTTGCACTGAAAACCACGTGAAGATTTTTATTAATGTTCTCCACGTTTTTTTTCCCCAAGAAATCTGCCATCACAATTCATTGATGTTTATACATTACAGAACTGAATGCAGACCTCTTGATCCTTAGTAACAATTCATATCAGAAATATGAGAATTTTTGTTTCTTTGAACACAATATTTCTTTAGAAAAACATTCATGTTGATTTTATAATGGCTTAGAATATAAAATCTGCTATAGCTGTCAATAAACGTTTCCCCCACATTACAGACAGCATTGTCACTTCCAGCTGGAATTTACCATGCTTTAGCTTCTAGATAAAAGATTATGGAAAACCTTTGTATTTCTACAGAAGAGAAATATCAAAGTTGTTCCTGTTCATGACTGAGTCTTTTCTTGCAATTGCTGTTTGCAGCATGTTACCAAGTCATCATCTGAAATGTTAACAAATAAGGCTTGGGCTTTCATTTAATTTTTTTACTAGGAATGATAAGGATATTTTTTCAGACTTTTTAATTTTTTTTTGCATGGATCTTCTTGGAATTTCTGACTGTGTTGATTTTTCCTGATCATTTGTAGCAATTCCAGGTGGGGTTATTTCATATTTTGCCTTGAAACATAACCTACAGGTTAAAAAAAATTATTATGCTTTGAGTTAAACGCTTCTATCAATGTGCAGGCCTTAACATGAGCTGCCACATCACACACACACACAAAATAACTAAATGTTAAAAATCTTTTGAATTCATCAAGCACTGTCCACTGTCTCCTATTGCTTTCACTTTCACAAATGAAAGTACAGTTTGATTTAGCAAGAGTTTAGTTGCCCTTTGTGGCACTTTTCATGTCAGTCTGACATGAACACAGTCAGACATGAACACATGAACAACACATGAACACAGAAGCAGTGTGAATTTGTTGACCTGTTGAGAACAGGGATTACTAAAGCAGGTTCATGTGTTCTCAGAGAATACGGCTTTTAAGAAAACGTTTGAAAGCAGAAGACCTTTAAGTTTAATTCCACTTCTTCTAAATTTAATGTCAGCTCTCTTATTTGTAATGACTTTCTATATCTGGCTTCTTTTTCTCTGTGTGTTTACTGAAATTATAATTTCTGTAACAGGAAAAGCTAAGAATAACCTATCAAGAATCTTCCTCATTACAGGCTCATTAAGCTCAGTGTACAACCACATCTGCCTCAAAGTCAATCACAGTTCCACCACCAACCTCCATGGGATCTGGGCCCAGATCCCCAGCCTGCTCTTTTGGGCCACTGCTGCTCTTGTGGCAGGCACTGCAAAGACTGACTCTGTGGGGAGCTGTTTTGTATGCATGCCTTGGGTGAGATTCTCAGCTGGCATCCATCTCACCTCACCCTGCACTGCTCACACAAGCAGGAAGTCTGAATCTGTGCTCATCCCTTAAGTGACTCATTGCTGCTAATTCTAAGTGTAATCTCATCTTGGTTACAATACTAGTTAAATTGAGAATAACTGCAGTGTTCTCAGAACTTCTGTTTTGTACCACCGTAGCTGAGGTTAGAGTCCCCCCGACTGTACTTTGATACCAGCTCTTTCACTCCAGTTTTATGTCCTTTCTACTACGCAGCACTCATAGCTGGCTCTTCACTGTCACTCGTCTCTTGCTTCAGAGAGGATTATCCATAAAACCTCCTTACTAAATCCTCTGTTTAATGTTATTCCTACTGCTCATTCACAGTACTTGCTACATAAAAGCATGAGACATGGTAGAGGGGTTGGAAATAGATGATGTTTAGGGTCCCATCCAACCCAAACCATTATTTGATTCCATGATTCATGTCTTCTCTGTACCAAAACAGTGATCAAAGCCTTTTGTATCAATTGTCACTGTTGCGCTTTCTTCAAAAGAGCCAAATTTGAGAAGCAGAACAATTCCATTAGTTACTGGATTATCTTGGTGAAGGAAATGCTGCACCTTGCTCTTGACACTACCAGACATAACAAATGTGCTCGACATTTATTCCCCCTGAAACATCTTAGCAAGACAACACTGAGAGCAGCAATGCTCTTCTAAGTAGCTCATTTCAATCCATGCAATCCCCTAGAATCAATAAACTGTATGGGATATTCCTTTAGGTCCTGAGGCAACTCTGTCTGTTGGCTTCAGATCTGACTTTGTAGAACACAGGTTGCTACAGTATGCTGATGGTGATGGAAGAGCAACTCCTGGGGGAGCAGATGACATATCCAGCACATCCCATGTATTCTCATGTACTAGCTCTTTCTCAAATGGTTCTGTGGAACTCTGTGAGTTTTCTTTAGAGAACGTTTCAGCCAGTGATACAATTTAATACATATCCTATTATACTGTATAGCTTTTTAGGCTTCTGGTTTTACCTTGCTGGAGAATTCCAAAGTATTTTCTTAGTAAGGACAAGGCCCTTTTAAAAAGCATGACTTACTGCTGTGCTTTTACTGCATAACAGCTCTCCTGCTCACTTTAGGGATTAATGTGGGAGAAATTCCTGTTTCAGGAAGAGCTTTGGGCACAAAAGGGCCATGATTAAGACCTGTGCCATCACAGACCACTCTGTCAACCA